TTTGTGATTCAGGTTGTTTCTGGTCCTGCTTCTTTCGTGATTCAGATTGTTTCTTCTCCTGTTTCTTCTGTGATTCAGGTTGTTTCTTCTCCTGTTTCTTCTGCAATTCAGGTTGTTTCTCTTCCTGTTTCATTTGTGATTCAGGTTTTTTCTCCATTTCTTTCTCCTGCGATTCAGGTTGTTTCTCTTCCTGTTTCTTTTGTGGCTCAGGTTGTCCCTCCTCTTGTTTTTCTTGAGTTACACTCTCAATTTTCTCCTGTTTAGTGTCAGGTCCAGATTGCTGCGATTCTGATTTCTCCTTCTGTTCAGGTTGTTTCTTCTTTTGCTTCTCTTTCGTTTGACTTCGTTTGTCGTCTGGTTTCTTTAGTGTTTCAGGCTCCTTCTCTTGAATCTCAGGCTGTTTCTTTTCGCCTCCTTCTTTCGATTCAGGTTCTTGCTTCTGTTCTTTCTCTTGTATTTCAGCATCCATCAGTGTTTGTTTCATTTCAGGTTCAGGTTGTTGTACCTCTACCTTTTCTTTATCGTTCGGTTGTTTCTTTTCTTGTTCATCTTGTACGATAGGTTGTTTCTTGTCTTGTTTGTCCTGTACTGCTGCTTGTTTCTTCTCCTTTTTCTTTGAAGTTTCTGGCTGCTTCTTTTCTTGTTTCTTTTTAACATCGGGCTGCTGTTTCTCTTGCTTTTCTTGTATTTCAGGTTTCTGAATTTCAGGTTGCTCTGTATCTATTTTCTTCTGAACTTCAGGCTTTTCTTCCACTTTCTTCGGAACTTCAGGCTTCTCTTCTGCTTTCTTCTGAAGTTCAGGCTTTTGTTCTTCTACTTTAGTCAGAATTTCAGGCTTCTCTTCCACTTTCTTCTGAATTTCAGGCTTCTCTTCTGGTTTCTTCTGAAGTTCAGGCTTTTGCTCTTCTACTTTAGTCTGAACTTCAGGCTTCTCTTCCACTTTCTTTTGAATTTCAGGCTTCTGTTCTACTTTCTTCTGAACTTCAGGCTTTTCTTCCACTTCCTTCTGAACGTCAGGCTTCCCTTCCACTTTCTTCTGACCTTCAGGCTTTTCTTCCTCCAATTTCTTCTGTGCATCAGGTTGACTCTTTTCTTGTACAACCTTCTCCACAATAATCTCAGACCATGTGTCAACCGTCTGATCCTCAACCTTCTGCTCTTTCTTTGTTTCCACAGCTAACACTTCCAATGCAACGGTTTCCTGCTTCTCTTGCGCAGCTTGTTGTTTCTTCTTCTCCTTCTTACCTCTCGATTTTTCAGGCATTTTCTCCTGCTTCTCTTTCGCGGCATCTTTATTTAGAATCGCCTCAGTTGTCTCGATACTCTTACATTCAGCCTGTTTCTCTTCATCTTTCATTTCCTGTGAGTCAACAACTGCATCTTTCACCTTTTCTGCTTCAATCTTCTGCGCCATTTCTTTCAAAATCTTCTCTTCCACTTTTTCTCCTGCAAGAGACTTTTCAGGTACATCTTTAATCTCCGATCTCTGAATTTCCTCAGCTACCTTCGCTTCTTGACTCTTATCAATCTCTGCTTTCACAGACTGCTTCTCATCTGCTCGAGGCTCCACAAGTTTCTTCTCGACTTCTTCAATATTCACAGATTCACTCTCTTCGGAAGACGCTGTAATCTTATCCGCATCTAATTTAGACTGTACCCATTGAGATTCCAACTGCGAGAACGTAGCCAGAGGATACTTAATAGACTCTGTAACGAGTGCCAGCTTCCTCAGCTCTGCTTCGGATTGCTCCACAGTTTCTTCTCTGTTCTTCTCTTGGTCAGGTTTCTTCATGACCGCCTCTTGAACGATCCTCTCGATGCTCTTCGATCTTTGCGGCTCAGGAGCAGGCACATTTTCCTGCAGCAGCTCGACCACCTTGAAACGCTGGTAAAAGTCGGTTTCCGCTTCGGCGTAAGAGTGGTAATTCCACCAATACGACTTGTTCATTTCGTTGTAATAATTCTTCAGATTAGTCTCCTCCTCGTCTTCGGGTTTCTTCTCTTCGACCAGAGTCACTTTCTTTCCGACTTTATCTTCTTTCTTCTCTTTAACAGACGTCCTATCAACGATCTCTTCCACTTTCGTTTCATCCGACTTGGATTCATCGACTGTCAAGATAGATTTCGATCGAGTTTCAGGAACTTTCTCGTCCACATTTACCTTCTCCTCGACGTTGCACTCTTTCTTCTCTTCTTTAACCGACCCCTTAACGGAAGCTTTACCAACAATCTCCCCCACGTTCACCGTCTTAGCCGATTCATCGAGCACCACAGAACCTATCGACTGACTCTGAGTTTCAGGAGCTGATCCTTCACCCAAAGCGACAGTCTTCTCTCCTGCAACTTCCTTACCAACTAAATGCTTATCAACGATTCCTTCAGTTCCTTTGAACTTCGAATCCCCGATCTGCCCGTCAACTTTCAGTCCACTCTCAACACCGGGTGGCTTCACTTCGACCACAGTTATCCTGCTCTCGTCCTTAAACAACTCAATCTGCTCCTCTTCCCTCACACCAGAAATCTCATCGACAATCTCCTCCGAACTCTTACCTGAATCCAACTGCCGAACCTCCTCAGACCGAACCTGTGCCTTCGTCACGTCAACACCGCTAGGAGCAGACTTCCTACCATCCTCTTTCGACGGTTCCCTACCTTGCTTAACGTTAGCCTCGTTGAATTTCCCCTGCAAACCCTTCGGCTCCCTCTCGTCGTCTAAGAATTTAGGCGACAGAGGCGTGCCAGACCGACCCCTTCTCCTATCCTGAACGCTACCGAAGAGAACCGGCTGGCCGTCGCCGGCCAGGCTGTCGATGTAAGACGCGTAATCGGTGGTCGAGCTAACGGCGTCCGCTGACGGTTTCTCTAACGACGCTACCGCGGCGATCGCGACGGCTGAGTCATCCGATACCCTAGCATATCTGGTGGTTAGGCTAGCCTCTACTGTTTCGGGACGCAGGGTGATTAGTTCGGTGGGTTTGGAGCCTACGATCTTGGGTAAAGGGATGCTCTCTAAGATCTCTACGGATTTCACGGATTTCACGTTGGGCGGTTTCATTTCGACCGAGCCGGGGATGCTGGTGGTCGTTGTCACGGTGGTCACCATCTTCTCGATGATCAGCGCCTTTCCGCTGGCCGATGGATCCGCGGGCGGCGAGTCCGAAACGCTCTCGACGATTTCTTCTTTCTTGCCGGCCTCAGCTTTCTTCGGCTCCGATTCCGATTTGTCGGGCTTCACGATCATTTGCTTCGACTTCTTCTTTGGAGAGTCTCTCTTCGACTCGGCGGCTGGAGCTTTGTCTTTTGAGGCTGATGGTTCTTTCGCTGGTTCTTGTGAAGCTGATGATTCTTTTGTTGGAGCTTTGTCTTTTGAGACTGATGGTTCTTTCGCTGGTTCTTTTACTGGTTCTTTTGAGGCTGATGGTTCTTTTGCTGGAGCTTTGTCTTTTGAGACTGATGGTTCTTTTGCTGGTTCTTTCGCTGGTGCTTTTGCTGGTTCTTTTAATGGTTCTTTTGGTCGTTCTATTGAGACTGATAGTTCTTTGGCTGGTTCTTTTGAGACCGGTGGTTCTTTTGCCGGTTCTTTCGAGACTGGTGGCTCTTTCGGTAACTCCTGTGGTTCTTCTAATGGTTCTTTCGATGTTTCTGTTGGTGGTTCTACGGGAGACACAGGAGCGTCTTTTTTACTAACTTCGGGCGACTTTTCAACTTTCTTGGACTCTAAATCGCTTACGCTTGATTGCGATTCATCAGGCTTAGCAGTGGGTTTGGACTTCTTCGGAGACTCTTTTCTGAGATCGAGGGATACTATTTTGGTCGGAGATGACGGTGAAATTTGGAAAGATGCTGGCTCTTTCTTATCATCATCAGTAGTAGCTTTTTCTTGTTTTACTTCTAGTAGTTCTTCCTTCTTGGATTCGACTTTAGGAACTTCGGTTATCGCAATGTTTTCACTTGATAATACTTCGGACACCTTCTCCATAACTTCCGTAACAGTTAATTGCTTTTCAACCGGGGACGCTGGCAAATCATCTTTAACTTCTTGCTTCACTTTCCTCCTCTTGTCTAACTTTGGCGTGCCCGGTTGGCTGGTTTGGAGTTCCCCTTTGGACTCAACGACGTAAGTTGCTTCGATCTTTTCGGCCACAACCTTGTCCTTCGATTTGCTCGATTTTTTAGACTTGGTCGCGGAGCTGTCAGTCTTCTGCTTTTGCGTAGCTTCAGCTTTTTCTACGCTCGCCTCTTCTACCGGTGTCTTAGCAGCTTCGGAAGCAACAGGAACTTCTTCTTTTCTTTCTACTAAGTTAATCGGCGCCTCAACTTTCTTCTCTGTACTTGGCGCTGCTTCTGAGCTCGACAAAGTAGCTTCTGCGCCACGTTTATCAGGAATAGTAGCTGTATCTACTGGCTTGTCTACAGGAACAACTTTTTCAGTCGACTTCTCTTTGTCTACTTGTACATCAGGTTTACCTTGTGCAACGTTAATCGCTTCGTTAAGTACTGCTTCAGCTTGAATATCACTTTTAGCGATTCCCTCGGAAACTGTCACCTGTTCTACTTGACTTACGTTTTCTAGGAGTTTCTCAGAAACAACAGTCTCAGGAATAGATACTTCTTTCTCCACTTGGTCTTTCAGAGAAACATCCTTGCTCTCACTGGCAATATCCTGTTTCTCTTTAGTAGTTGCTAACTGTGTTACGACTTCCTTTCCTATTCGTTTCTTCTCTTCTATCGCTAAACTCTTCTCCTTCGGCTTATCTTTTTCTATGGTTTCTATGGTAGCTTTCGAGTCCTCTCTCTTCTGAACCTGTGGCTCAGGCTCTAAATTCTCCTTTAATTCTAACTCCACAGGTTTCTCGCTGGATTTTCCTGAGCTCGCCTGCTTCTCAACGACCTTTGCCACTTCCTTCTCAGAAACTTCCTTCGCTTCAACCGGTTCTTTCTTAGATTTCTTTCCTTTACGTTCAGCTTTCTTCATTTCTTGAGGCGGTTCTTTCTTGAATTCTTTCGTGTCTTTCGCATCGTCCGGGTTTTTCTCTTCTTTGTTAGTTACTTCTTCCTTTATCGTGCTGTCTGCTTTCTGTGCATCCGGTTTCGCAGGTTCCTTCAACTCCACTGGCTCAATAATTCCTGCACTTTCAATGGTGGATTCGATCGCTTGATCCAGCTGACTGATAGCTGCCTTCTCTTCTTCTTCGATGTCCTTCGACATTTTCTCTACCTTTATCTCCTCTCTCCTCTGATTTTTACTCTTCTGCTTCTCGTTTCCCTTCGCCGCCTCCTTCGCAGGCTTCTTATCTTTCCGACCTTTCTCCTCTTTCAAGTCGCTTTGCGCTTTCGCCTCTTCCTTGCTCTCAGCTCTACCATCTTTCGCTTCCTCCGATTTCTCATCAACTTTAACAGCTTCCACCAATAATTCTGCCACCCGAGATTGTTCTTCCAGCTTCGCGTCAGCATCCTTCTGACTCGGCTTCGCAGGCAATTGCTTCTTCTTGTCCTTCCCTTTGACATTCTCTCTCGCCGGCTTCGATTTCTCCTGCTCTCTAGACTTATCAGCCTGAGCTCTAGCCTCGGCTTTATCTTTAGACTCGGCCTGCGCTTTGTTCTTCGTTTCCGCAGTATCTTTAGCCGGTTTCTCCTCCTTCGCCGATTTATCTTTAGTCCTCGGGGGCACTGGTTCTTTAGCCTGCACCGTGTCCGTAATTTTAGCCTCTGCTTCTTTACCGTCATCCTCTTTTTTAACTTCTTCCTTCGCGGCATCATCGACAGCGGTCGCTTTCTTCGCTTCGTCCAGCTCGCCTTCATTCTTCTCGTGTCTCGCGGCCTCCGCGAGCGACGTGTCCTTCGTCGCGCTGGCCTCCTTCTTTTTCTTCTGCTTCTTCTTCAGGCCAGATTCCTTCTGAGTCTTCTCTTCTCTCGCCTCCGCCTTCTTCGTCTCGCTAGTAGCATCTATTTTCACTTCGGGCTTCTTCGTCTCCGACTCTGCCTCCGCACTCGCTTCCTTCTCCTTTTCTCTGACATCAGCGTCCTCCTTGCTCTTCTCCGAATCCTTCTCCTTAACTCCTTTCGCCGCTTTCGTCTCCGCGACGACGGTGTCCACCGGTCCGTCTCTCTTCGACTCCACCTTCGGCTTGCCCTGCTTCTTCTTGTCGTTAGCCTTCGCGTTCCTCTTCTCGATTTCTTCCTTAGCCTTGTCCGCCGCAGGCTCCTTAGGCTTGCCCTGCTCCTTCGACTTGTCCTTCTGCCCCTTCTTCTGCTTGTCCATGTCCTCGATCTCCCTGAGAGCCTTCTCGATCTCGTCGTCCATCTTCTCCGCCTTCTTCTTCTTCGTCCTTCGCTTCTTCTCTTGCTGCCCGTCGGCCCTGTCCTGCTGAGCCTCACCTTTGTCCTGCTGATCCGGCTTCCTCTCCTCCTCGGCCGGCTTATCCTCGGCGTCGTCCTTCCTCGCCGGTTGCACTTCGACCTCCTTGCTCCTCGAAGGACTGACCTCCTCGGGAACGTCTCTGGCGACCAGCTTCTTCCCTCCAGCCTTCGCCTGGCTGCTCTTCTCCCCCTGAGCCCTCTCCTTCGACTGCTCGGGCGCCCTGCGACCTCTCTTCTCCACGGACGGAGTCTCCTGCCGACTCTTCTTCGAGCTCTGCGGGTCCTGCTGGGCCCTCCTCGCTTCCCTCTTCCGCGTGGTATCCCAGGCTACCTCTTCCTTCCTCTCTTGCTTCGCCACGGACGACTCTCTGGTCTGCCTGGCCTCCTTGGGCGGCGTGGACTCGTGTATCGACGACGAGCTCGAGTTCACGGGCGACCTGGACCGCTCCTTCGTCTGCCTCACCGCGAAGCTGGTCATGCTCGAGGTCGGCGCGCTCGGCGCGCTCGGCGCCGCGGGCTGCGCGCGAGGACTGAGTCCCTGCGACAGGATCTGCGCGTACGAGAACGCCTTGCTCTCGGCCTGCGGCTTCGGCTTGGCCGTCGCCTCCGGAGCTTGAGCTACCTCGGTCTGCTGAACCTTGGGCTCCGATTTGGCAGCTTCCACCGGCTCCACCGGTTGAACCGGCGCTTGGACCACGGCCTGGACGTCCGGGGTCACGGGTGCTGGGCTGGGGACGCACTTCTCCTCCGGATTCTGGACCAGCATCGGAGGATTCTTCACGGGGTTCTTGAACCTGGGCTGCCTCTGGTGCTTCTGCAGTTGGTTAGGCTGATAGATCTCGGCGTCGGGGATGTAGGCCGGCTGGGGAACGTACTGTTCGGCGGGGAACGGCATCTGCTGCTCGTAGTGCGGCAGGGCGACCTGCGGAGGCGGCGCGGTCGGCATGTACACGTACGAGCTGACGGGATAGGCGATCTGCGAGCCGATGAAGCCGACCAGCTCGGGCATCGGCGGGTGAATGTAATTGTACACCTCGGGCACTTGCGCCCTGGCCTCGTAGGTCTTCTCGTTGAGCAAGTTGTACTCTTCCAGGGGTTCGTCGGCCCACCTGATCTGGCTGTCAGCGATGTCTTCGGGCTTCATAGCGGGGACTTCAGGCTGGCTCTGGTAGCTCTCCGCCACCGGACTCTGTTGCTCCTCGGTCTGCTCGACCTCTTCCAGCTTAGCTACATTGGAGTCCACCTTCTCCGGCTGGACGTCGACCTGCTCGGTCTTCTGCGTCTCGACGTCTTTCGCCGAGTAAGCGTACTTGTTGGCTTCCACGGATGGACTTCTGGAAGCGCTGGCTCTGCCTCGGAGGATGTCAGCGTAGGACGTGGACCCCGGCATCCAGATAGGACTGGCTGACCTGCCTCTCCTTTCCTCCTTGGGCGCCAAGGTGTTCTTCAGCGACAACGGCTCTCTTCTTCTCTCTGGAATCGCTTCTTTCTCCGGCGTCTCTTTGACGGGTTCTCTGACGGGTTCTCTGACGGGTTCTCTGACGGATTCTCGGACAGTTTCTCTGACGGGCTCCGAGGTTTCCTTTCTGGCTGATCTTCTAGTCTGAGGCCTCTGCTTGGCGTCCGCAGTGTCCATCTTGGACACGTGCTGGCTCCTCGGTCTGGCCTCGGGCTCCCTCTGTTCCATCGGCGGCTCGATCTTCGCCTGCTCCTCCCGAGGAACGTCCGCCTCGGCGGCTCTCGAGCGGTCTTGCGCTCGCTCGGCGATCGGCTTGTGGATGGTCGGCCTGAGCAGCTGCACCGCGAGCGGCGAGGACGGCAGGGCCTCGTCCCGAGGGTTTCTGAACGGGCTAGAACCCCTCGAGCTCGGGCTGGTGCGGCCCGCCGCGATGTCCGCGTACGAGACCTGCCCGATCAGCCGGCACTCGTTGCTCTGGACATAGAACGGGTCCACGGCGTATATCTGATCCAGCAGTGTCTTCACGCGCTGCCTCCAATCGTCCATCCTTTGCTGCAGGCTCTGCTTTATCCGCCACGGAGGAATCGGCCAAGGCACAACAATGGAATACACATATGTACGTCAAT